GGAAAGTGAAATAGGATAGAGTGAGAGAGAGGGTGGGGGAGGAGCAGAGGGAGAGAGGGAGAGGGATGGTGAGGAAGGGAGAAAGAAAGAGAGGGAGAGATATATAAATCGATCGAGGGAGAGGGGAAAGGAGGGGAGAGAGAGAGAGAGGAAGGAGGAGAGAGTGAGAGGGGGAAAGGAGGAGAGAGAGAGGAAATGGGGATTCGGAAAGAGAGGTGGGAAAAAGAAAGGAGAGAGAGGGAGGGAAGGAGAGAGAAAGAGAAAGAGAGAGAGAGAGAGGGGGGGACGATAGGAAGGTAGGATAGGGAGGAGAGAGATGAAGGGGAGAGATGGAAGAGATGGAGGGAGAGAGAGGAGAGAGAGAGGGAGAGAGAGAGAGAGAGAGAGAGAGAGAGAGAGAGAGAGAGAGAGAGAGAGAGAGAGAGAGAGAGAGAGAGAGAGAGAGAGAGAGAGAGAGAGTTGCACTCACCTTATAAAATCCAAATCCAAAATAAATGAGGGTCAGGCGAACCGAAAATTAGAGAGAAAAAATCTCCCGAAATGACAATCACACGCGGACGAGCAAACCAGACATACAAATTACGTCTATTAGGACTTGTCACGGCAAGCCCACGAAGTCGTGCACGCCCGAGGCACGCGTATGACGTCATCCTGAGATGTTACGGCATAACTTAAAAAAGGAACGCCAGCGTCATAGATTCAGGCCGTTTTTCTTGACGACGACACAACTTGAGGCCTACCTCCGCTTGCGCGTTGGTTTCCTTCGCGATGAAGGATGTGAAATTACACGGAGTAATGTCTCTGTGTACACTTATGAAAACGTGTGTGTGTGTGTGTGTGTGTGTGTGTGTGTGTGTGTGTGTGTGTGTGTGTTGTGTGTGTGTGTGTGTGTGTGTGTGTGTGTGTGTGTGCGCGCGCGCGCGCGCGGCGTGCGTGCTGCGTGCGTGCGTGCGTGCGGCGTGCGTGCTTGCGTGCGTCTGTGCGTGCGTTCTTGCGCGTGCGTGTCTGTGTACAGTCTCCGAAAAAACTAGTAGCATGGATGCCTACTTGCTGCTGTCATTCGTTACGATAATACAGCAAGGTTGGTATTCTTGGCAGTGAAATATACCTTGTTCTTTTCCGAATGTGCGCCCGAATACACGCGTTGTGCATTAAGCATTTTATGAAGTACGATATATCGCCACTAGAGCAAAGGCTTTACATGGTCAATTTCAAACCTTTTTTTGATTTCAAAAATGTCACTGAAAACCTTACAATATAATTTGGATTGGTTGCCCTAAGGACTTACAATAGATAGATAGCACCACTTCCACAGAACACTACGTAATTTATATATAATTATATATATATATATATATATATATATAAAGAAAAAAAATCTAGCAATATCTGACATTTCGTGTCTTTAAGCTCCGCCTTCTTGTCACTTGAGTATTTACACACATCTCCGTATGTTTTATAGCCTGTAGTATTTTGGGAGACTGTACATACATACTGGATTACTCACTTTCCCAACTTATTCCCCCCAACATACGTTAGCCAAAGTTGACTAACCTTGCAACTTAGCCTCCAGTTGGTTGGGCTGGAGGCTAGCCTGAAGACCGTAGTGCCGAGGGTTCCGCTGTACCCTTACGTACAAGAAGGTTGTGCGTAGCCATTCTACTGCTACTCCTAAATCCGTCACGGTCCCCAAAACGATCTGCAAGAAGTTTTTTTTTAAGATTTTCTTGTTGGAGAGAAGAAAATGAAAATTTGGTTCCCGAGAGGAGAGAGGAAATGGACATTAGCCATTTGGGAGAAAGGTGGGAAGAAGAAAAACATTCACAGGGGGAAATGGGTGCACAATCTAGCTAGTTAACGTTCTGAAAAGTCGTAAGCATACCCTGAGAACAATAAAATATCAAGTTATGATGACTAAGCAAGAAACAGTGACATTACAATCGATTAAACGAAAGTATGACTACTGTTTACTCTATGATCCAGGGTGTAGACAAGAATTACTCCAAATACTGGGAATGTTTGCTCTTACCAGTTGGGTAATGGGGTAGCAATGGTATTTTGGTATTTTCCTATAAGCTACCTAACATGTTCTCTCTCATTTCAATATCAGAATTGATATTTTTTGCTTATGCCAATATAGGTATAACTATTTTTGGAAAAAAATATCTAATGATGAGAAAATGCTTTACATATGATAACTGGGCATGCGCATTCCCCTTATTGCGTTCACCATCATCAAATCCCAGATTGCATATGACAAAAATATTGATATGTCTGAAATACGTATGTTCAAAGTTTAAAATCATCTCTCTCCTCTCTTCTTTCCATATACACTTAAATATCTCTCTAACTCTCCCTCTCCATTCTACCTAAATCTCTCTCTCTCTCTATGTTTGTCTCTCCATTTCCCTCTATAATGTACGTGTGCGTGTGTGTACCCTCTCCCTCTCCCTCTCCAACTCTCTCTCTCCCTCTCCCTCTATTATGCGCGTGTGCGTGC